TGGGCTCGCCCCAGCGAGACCCGCGGCTTGCGGGGGGAGGGCAGAGGGGTCAGGGCTGGAGTCGCAGGACGTGAATGCGTGTCGTGATAAACATGCACGTCAACCGAGTTAGGAGACCTTGGAGGGTTTTAAGCCCTTCCCTTTGCTCCCCTTTCGATCGATGCTATCTGCTCTGTGCACGGGGAAAAAACCCAAACCCTCTAGCAGGTAACAGCGTCCCCGTTCCTGCCTTCCGCTCCTGGAAACTTCGCCATGCAAAACATGAGAGGCAAATCAGCTTTTTCTTCTTTCTCGGTGTAAGCCCCACACAGCTGTACGGTGTTTTGCTTCTTCCATGAAAGAGATAGCTGGATTTTTGCATGTAATACTTTTTTGGTAGGATTTTCCAAAGTGAATTTACTTTCAATTTAACGTGGTTCTGAGATGTTGAGGTGGTACCCGCCAGCATGACTCGCTGGCTGGCACTTGCTGATATTTTGCTGGAGAAACTCCATCAGAGTAATTCCAGCGAGGCACGGTTCGACTGCACGGATACAGAGGGAGTGGGAGGCGCGATTGACGTTTGACTTGATGAACCGAGGGTGTTTTTCAGTGTTTCCTCTTTAAACTTTGGACACCTCAGAAGCCTTTGTGCGTTGTGGTTGGTAGGGTTTGACACGGGAGGGGAAGCGTTATCTGGAAGCTGTGCCTTGAAAGTGTGTGAACTCTTACTTGGGATCCAAGAAACTGAACTCACCAGCCAGAGAAATTTTCAAAAGCACCTTTGTTTCTACCTGAATCAAAGTTGGTCTGTTCATACTAAAACCGAAGCAGCCTTACTTTTCTTTTTTTTTTTTTTTAACCTCGCTTCTCTCACAGAAGCTGGTTCCTTCACTCTAGGTAGTAAGAGTAATCATAGTGGAGAAGTGTTCCTCTAGATAGTAGTAAAGCCGTTTGGTTTGAACGGACATCTTAAATTGGGCTTCTTCTTTTGAAAATCCTAGGCACAGGTTTGCATCTTGTTGTGACTGAGCTCTTTATCCTTCTGAAGTAGAGCAAAACTGGTTTACATAGTCTCCATGCGGGTGCTATTTTTACTTCCAGCAGTTTCTGCTGGCTTTGTGTGCAGGCTAGACTCAGGAGTCGCTTTCTTTTTTGTGCTAGACTTTTCTTCTTGGTGTTGACTTTCAGGCTTGTAGACTTCTCCTGGCAAGGATACTGAATATGCTTGTGACTGAAATCCCATTGAGACCTATGCCTCTCTGGTTTTTTATCTTTGTTTTTTTTAATAATACCC